ACAAGGTCAGTCAAATCCCTGCAGGATTTACCATGGAACCCTGTACAGCAGTGTGTGTAGATCCTTCCTCAGTGTCAGCCATGCAGATGAGTCACAGCCATTGCTTGTCCAATGTGCTCTCTGTGAAAGCCTCAGAGAATGTTTTCTCTCCATGTGACTCTGCCCAGGCACACTCTATTGTTGGGTATTTTCCTCTGTGGTTCCATAATCTCCTAGATCAGAAAATCCTGTGTGCTTAAAGTTAGCTATCAGTTGCTAGACAACTTCGTGTCATGCGTTACTAACTTCACGAAAGTGTAAATAAAGGATCATTTTATTGTGAAGAAAAGAGAAAAAATATTATTTAGATAAGATATTCTGCATCTTGTCCTCTGAATAACTACTATGAAGACAACAATATGCAATGTTTTAACTATTGTAACTGTTCTACTAACCTGTTTTGAAACTTTCATTACTAGTTTATCTTTTTTTCTCATTAAAATGAATTAAAAAATTAAAAAGAGCTTCTTTAATTAATTCTTGTTAGAATTATCCAAATGAGCAAACCAAGTTTGATTTTAGTTGTCATAGATTGGCCTTACTTGGTTATGATTAATAAAACTGGGAATAATTGTAAAAATTATGTATCAAAAATGATAGTACCGCTGTTTACTATTTATGAGTTTTCTTGGTTTGCTTGTAAATTAGACTGGGTTCAGAAAACTAATTTTCTTTGATGTCTGTCTACAACTGTCCAATGAAGGATAGGCATTACTCCTTCTTCAAGCCATGCAAATTGACGCTAGACAACTAGATGTGGATTTGAAGAAACAAATCTCATACATAAGACTTCAGACACCATAGAGATTTCAGCAAACCACCAATGCCATAATCAGACATTCAACCTGTAAAACTGCTGACTCCCTGCTGTGGACAGTTTCCCCAAGATTGCTGGGGCAGAGCTCTGTACGATCACAACACTCTAATCCCTCTCAATGTCTACTTTTTCACTCAGTGGGATGACACTGTAATTCCACTTTCACAATGAATGACTGCTATGGGCAATTTGATGGCACTTTAGCTAGCAGATATTTTGGTCCAACTATTAGATAAACAACATCCCTGATACACTTTTCAGTACACTGTTCCCTTCAAATTCTGTGTTTTTTTCTTGTCTAAGTTCTATAGGAACAACAGTCTTAACAGAATAACGTTGGTCCAGCTCTTCCAAATGATAATCAATGCCCACAGAACTCATGCAGTTAAATTTAACAAATGAACTCTAGGTAGATGTAACTTGAGACAAAGTTGCTTCATTATGGGTGAGGAGGTTTTGACTCTGCTCTCAACTCAGCAACCAGTTCCTTTCAATGTGGGACCACACCAACCAGGACTGGTCCACATTAGCGTCATGAGATGATCAAAAGCTAAGTGCAGGTGGTGGATGAGCAGTACTTTCAGAGAAAGTTCTTTGACCAAAAAATAAAAAGAAGTGTGAAAGCTGGCAGATTCAAGCTGGGCTCATCCATCCCAAACCCTGGCAATATGGAGCTCAGGAGACAATGGAAGCAAGACTCTCCTGCACATCTTGGCTGAAACTGAAATGATACAGGCTTAACCACATCCACTGAAGTACAACTCATAAGAGCTAAATCTTGGAAGCAGCCTGTATGCCCACCTTCAGATGAATGATGCAGCAAATTTGGTACCAACAGTGGAGTATTACTCTGCTACAAAGAAAGATAAATTTGAATCATTTATAAGAAAACATACTAAATTTGAGACCATGAAAGTAGATGAACTAAATCAGATACATAAGTTTAAATACAGCATGATTTCTCTTGTATGAGAAACCCAAAGTATAATGAACTAAAACAAAATTAAAAAGGTTAATAGGAAACGGGGAGAGAAACCTTCACAAATGGGGAGGTGACCAAGAGGTGGAGAGAAAGTGGGGGAGGGAAAGGAGATGGAAGTAGTTGGGATGTGTTATGTATGTGCGCCGGCTCCCCACGATGAGTAACTGTAAGGTGCCGCAAACATGTGATAATAAAAATAAAAAATTAAAGAAATAACATGAGCACCTGCCATGACTGCTAATCGCACAGGGTCAGCTAGCAGCAAAGGCCGGGCAGCAATACAAGAGAATCCAGTCACCACCTACAGAAGAGCGTTGGGCTGGCCCCAAATCACAGGCCAATTCAGGGAAACAACATGCTATGTCTTTAGGATTGCAAATTTTACTTAGTAATCTCTGGTACCAAGAAACTTTCTTTCCCATGTAGATGTATCGCTTTCATTCTTCCCAGTGCAATACCAGGCTTTTCTTTGTTACCTGGACATACTCCAAAGCATTCCCCATGAATCTTTTCTCAGTTACTTTTCTTTCATTGCTGGGAAAAAAGACTCAAGAAGCAAAAATAAGGAAGGAAAGGTTTATGTAGCTCAGTTTATACTCGCCTGGCTCCAAGGCAGGGTGGCACATGGCAGAGGGCAGCAGATCAGGGAGGAGGAAAACAGCGACGAGCTAAGGGAGGAGCAGCAGCTGCTGCAGCTAGCGAGCCTCTCTCTTACACTGTGCACAGGACATCCGCCCCAGGGCGGGCGAAGCACCCACACCCAGAGTCCAAGCCCCGGACTGTGAGTTAATCAGAAACTTTGGAAGCCACCCCGTGACTGCATGAGGCTTTGGGGGGAACACCTAGATGCAAACCATAGCAAATGTGTCCTTAATTAAAATTTATTTTCTTGTCTTATTCACAAATAAATAAATAAATGTTCCTTTATCAGATATTTGTTTCTATGTCTTTCTCAAATGTTAATATTATAGTAATAGAGCCCACTTCGTAGACCATGATTATCTCTTGGGTTTTGAGTATTTATATAAATTACATAAATAATAATTATCTTGGACGGTTACAAGGTCCAAGAAATGTTGCATGGGTCTTTTTGGGTAGGTTATTATTCTGACTATCATGGAATTAGAGTGGATTATTCTGCCTTGTCTTTGAAATTTATCCTTTACATATAAGATAATTCTAAAGGAAATTATTATTTAAAGTAAGATTAGAAATGGTCCTAGTGGGAGAAACATCACCATAACAACCACAGTATCTGTGGAATACATATAGTACATTGAAAATACAGGCACAAGCATCTCAGCACATTCCAGCAGCATCTCACAACTTCTGAGATACATAGGCGTCTGATGACTAGGAGCAAAAGCAGACGTGGCTTTGCATCTTGTGGGTACAGTTTGTATGGTAATAGAGCTGTCTGTGGTTAGAAATTAAAACATAAAATTATGCACTAAATAAGCATACTGAATTTACATTTATTACCGATGGATATTTTCATGTTTATATTTTAAATGGTCATTTACAATCATTTAACTTAATCATGTAATTCATACACAAGAGTAATTTTCCAAATAGAACCACACATTAAACATTTACATAATCTCATAATTACATTCTCTTTTTGACTTACTAAATAATGCCTATTTAATGTATCACTGGCTCTTTAGTGAGATGTCAAATCAAAGTAAAGATTATGAGAGAATATTCAATTAGTGATGAGAGTTCCAAGAAATTATAGTGTCTAAAAGGGGGGACAACGGGCAAGCATGAATTGCAAATATGGATTATAAACATTTTAACAAAGCAGAAAAAGTGCTGTTCCCCTTGAAATGTCCCACATCTCTGTCTAGAAGGTTCGTATTACAAGTGACTTGCTACACCCAACAGTGGTTCACAGATTCATCGTAGTGCTACAGCGGGATCCAAAACTGAATTATTTTATTCATTCATTTAGCATAATTACTGAGACACTACGAAGAGACAGGCATCTATTTATGTGCCGAGCAGGATCAAACAGATGAAGTCACCATACTCATGAGGTTCAAATTCTAGTTTGAAGTGATAACCAGAGAGCACATAAATATACAACACGTGAGTGCTGGAAGGGATTATGAGGATTAACTTGGGGTGAAGGGGCACTGTGACTGGGAGAGACAGGTGCATTTCTGTGTAGGTGGCCAGGAAGTCAGAGATGATAAATTCACAGGGCTTAAGCGGAGACCTGACTGGATGAGGGAAACTTCCCCGACAGGAGGAGCTGCAGGCACAGGGGCCCTGAGGCAAGGACGTGCTTGGGTTTGTAAAAAATATCAAGGTCATTGTGAAGGGCATGGAGTAAAAGACAGGAGGAGGCCGAGAGATGGTGACACTCACCCGAATTCAGAACTAGGGGACATTAGCCATTGTGAAGTCCTTGCATTAAAAAAAAATACTGTGGTATATTATTTAACAGTGTTGTGACAGTCACATTAATATATTTTAAAATGACTTTATTTTTTCCTACACTTTTATTATACTATGGCTATTTGATCCTCTTGAGAAACATCAAGAGAAAATGTAGTTTCTCTAAAATGACTTGTCAAGCCAGAAACAGTACTTTGTTTAAGATGCATTTGCTCTATGTCTCTCAATAAAATATGCCAGCACTACAGTAATACTATTTTTTTTTTTTTTTTGTATTTTAGGGAAGGGTCTACAAGATGTTCAGAGTCTCACTACTAGATCAGACTCATAGTGAGCTGCCTGTTTACAGCCTCCCATGAGCTGGGATTACAGGCACACGCCACCACTCCCAGTCCCTGGGGGCAGGGCCAGCATAGCAGGCCCTGGGATCAAACCCCAGCCCCTGTGCCTGCTTGCAGGTGCTTTAATATGCTGAGCTATTTGCCTGGCCCTAGCTTGCTATTATTTAAAGCTGGGTTACTAATTTTTTCTCACATTAAAGCTGGGGAGAGCAGTGAAAATTCCATAAGAGCTGGAGTTATCACAATACCTGACTTCAAAATCTGCAGCAAAGTTTTAGCTACAAATGCAGCATGACCCTGGCATGAGAACATCAACACTAGACCCATGCTGCAAGATGAAAGACTAGAAGTGGAATGTGATGTAGGCCAAGTTTTGACAAAGTGGAAAAGAACATACACTGCACAAAGAATCAAGTCTTCAATGCACAGTCCTTCCAGCAACCTTCTTGAATGCGCTCTTGACCTCCTTGTTCCTGAGGCTGTAGACCACGGGGTTCAGCATGGGGATGACCATGGTGTAGAACACGGAGGCGATTTTGGCAATGTCCATGGAGTGGCTGGAGCTGGGCTGCAGGTACATGAAAATGGCAGTGCCATAGAAGATGGAGACGGCAGTGAGGTGGGAGGCGCAGGTGGAGAAGGCCTTCTGGTACCTTGCAGCAGAACGCATCTTCGAGATTGTAATGAATATGAATAAGTAGGACACCAAGATAACCAGGAGGGCAAAGAAGATGTTGAAGCTGGCCATGCAAACAAGGACCAGCTCATTGACATGCCTATCAGAGCAGGATAGAGCCATGACGGCCGGAACTTCACAGAAAAAATGATGGACCACATTAGACATGCAGAAGGAGAGACTGAATGTGTCACTTGTGATGACAGATGCAGTCAGGATGCCTCCAAAAGAGCAGCCTAAGGTTAGGCAGGCACATACTCTCGTGGTCATGGTGCTGGTGTAGTGCAGGGGCCTGCACACCGCTGCATAGCGGTCATAGGCCATGGAGGCCAGAAGATAATTTTCTACTGTGGCAAAGGCTCCAAAGCAGAATGCTTGAGTAGCACAGGCATTGTAGGAAATGGCCTTGTTTCCCGTAAGCAACCCAGCCATGACTGTGGGAGTGACAGCAGAAGAGTAACAGAAGTCCACCAGCGCCAGGAAGAAGTACATGGGGCTGTGCAGACGCGGGTCCAGGACGATCAGCAGGACCAAGCCCAGATTCCCAAGCGCAGTAATGGCGTAGATGACAGTGATCACAGTAAAGAGAAAGACTTGTAGCTCTGGGGCACTGGTGAGTCCCAAGAGGATGAACTCTGTCACTTCTGTCCTGTTCTTCATCGATGTTATTCTAGAATCAGGAGATGCCCTATAGTAAAGGAAAGTGCTTTAAACACAGTGGTGGCTGCAGCAAAATGCAAATGTCCCTATATAATGCACATTATCTTCTTATGCCAATTGTGTGTGTCTCACTGTTCTCATAAACAAAGAATGAGCTTAACAACCAAATTTAATACATTAGCTATCTATGGAGCTCCAGGCTTGAATGAGGGCTCTTTACTCAGCTTTGCTATAGTTTTAAATTTTTATGTATTTGTAAGCTGAGATTTAAAATATTCAGTACATTGCTCTACACAACAATTCTGGAATTAACAAAGCAATCAATTCAGTATTTCCTAGACTAGTAGATTCACAGTCTTCTATATAGTTTGCATGCCAGGAACTGCCCTAGACACATTACATCTATATCCCTTGATTTCCCAACAAATTTATGAAGCTGAGTAGTCATACTTTCATTTAGATTGTGAGGCATCAGAGGTTGAGTAATAACTATCCATATTTTCAGAAATATTACTTTCCAAACAAAGCTTTGGTACCAGACAGAATGGTACCAACTTTAATGATTTAAATTAGCCTTAAATCAAGTTGCGTTTAAATCTATATGCAATTATTCATTGTCCCCATTATTTTAAGCCAAGCATTTGGGTTTCCACAGTGAATGAACTGAGAGACCCGTGCACAGCAGACATGGTGAGATCCCGGGGGGCACTCAGTGCCCGGCTGACCATGGGCGACTTGATAGGAGGGTGCATCCCAGGTAAGAGCTGGGGCTCCGGGCACGGAACAGCGGCCTGTCAGCTCAGCATGTACCACCTAAGAAGCACCGGTCCTAGGAACTTTCCCAAGCCAGGTGTTCTTTGTCTATGAAATGAAGGTGGTAGCGACCCCACCTCAAGGTGTTACTGTAAAGACACAATGAGATGGGGAGTAAGAATGGCAAAATGCTGCAGGATCAGTCCCGCGCCGTAGGTGCTGCCCTGCTTTTCTCGTCAGGAGGATACGGAAGCCCTGCACCGTGGAGGGCGTGAGGCGAGCTCTGGCTCTTCCTCGGGCCACTGTGATGCGATACGCCCCTGCCCCAGGTACCCCACTTTCCATTCAGCACCTGGCCGTCTGACTGGTTGTGCTATCCACCGCAGGAGCACCACCCTCCTGTGTAGTTTCCTTCCTGAAGTACCTCTCTGAGCTATGGCTGCCAGGGTGCTCTTCCGTCCCTTCGCAATCATTCCGTGTTTGGATCACAGATATCAAAGGGTACAAGTTCACACTCTGTGGGTTACCTTTGGCTCACACATCGGTTTTAATTGACATATTTAAAATTTGAACATATCCGAGTCAGCAGGAGCATAGGACCAGTAGTTTAACTCTGTTTATTTTAATTTCTGGCCTTTGGAAACATGTCCATCCTGTACTCACTATGATTCCTCATCAATATCTTTTTTTTTTTTTTTGGCAGTACCAGGGATTGAACTCAGGACCCTGCGCTTGCCAGACAAGTGCTTATTCTACTAAGCCATCTCCCTGGGCCCCCTCATCAATATCTTTCTACTTCTTTTCAGCCTCACTTTACAAGTCTAGCCCCTGAGGATTTCATGTGTGTCCATCCTATCCTACAAAGCACTTCCAGCACATATAACCTTCCATAATCTATCACAGGAGATTTATATCTAAGCACATAGGTGACAGTGTGCTTGGGTATCTGTGTGCATATAGGTAATAATATTATTTTTCTTATTTACCATTAATTCAACTGTTAATTTGTGAAGCTAAATGGTATTCTAAAACTGCACAAGGAGCTTGAGGAAGATTCAAGATTCCATATTGAAACTCAATTTTATCCTAATCAAAATCTCTCTTTTTCAGCCACATCAGTGTGAGCATTCCTAGGTATGCCAGCAGTTATAAGGATTACGCGCAAAGTGCCGACGTGAATGAAGTTCAGGTTTTGCTGGCTCATTAGTAGTTTGAAGCTGTCTGCTCACTGCACATCAGTTGGGGCTTACTAGAGAAATGGGTGGAGCACGATCATACAAATGTCTAAGGAATTACAAGATCAGCTCAGGATGGTCAGCCAGAGTCGGATGAGCAAGCGTCCAGAGGGCGCCTGCACTGTGCAGGCTGAAGGGTTCAGTGCAGGATCTGGCCCTCACTGCAGTCTCCATGCAAGTCTACATCAGAAGGCCGATGGGTCTGTGGCAGTAGGCTGCAGAATCTATGCCAGAGGGCTGAGCAGTCTGCACTGGAGGCCAGAGGCCGAGCTGAAAGTGAGGTCTGGAGCACCTCAGAAGAACCAGCAACCAGCCCTTCATCATTTAACTTTCACTGCATGCAAAGCACCGATCCTTGGGCAGGTGTAGCGCTCACAGCATCCCTCATTCTCCTCTGCACAGGCTCAGGATGTTTACGAAGTGAGGACCCCGATCCCCTGGTGAGCTACTCAGTTAAGCTAAACTTCTCAAGTTGACACAGTGAGTCAACCGTAACATGCTGCCCATTTATTTTTTTCTAAATCCCTGATGAGAAATGAACAAATTAACAACAAATAGAAACCTCCACCTATTCAGAGCATCTGTGAAAAAAGCACCTGTGCTTTTTTAGGTTGGGAATTTTAGGGAGCAACAAGGTGACAAACAAGATGTTTAGCACAACTCAACTGCATTGGTATAGTTTTACTGTTTGTACTCCAGATTCCCATTAGTGGTTTAGACAGATTCTCAAAACCTCGGTTTCTGTGCTCAAAGAAGTCATACAGGTATGAATGTTCCACCGCTTTTGCATAAATTACACTATTTGGCTAAAAGTTTATATTAGCTATGGCAGCTTACCTTAATGCCTTGGAAACAAATGATAATCTTAAACCATGAGTTGGAAAGCAGAAATTCTTCCATGAAATAATGGATTGCTAGAGTAGCTCTCTTGTGGGTAGCAGCTGCAGAATTTCAGCGGCAGAGAAGTCAGGGCGAAAAGACTGCAGCATCTCTAGCAAGCGCTAAGTCCTGGATCTACCATGCATCATTCCTGTAACCCTGTTGGCTGCCTCTTCTTATTTGTCAAGTAAACATTATAAAATTACAGTATTATTTTTCGAATAAAGGCAAGTCTATAAAACAGCTTGCTAAGTGATTATTATTTTAAAGTCTCTCAATGTAATTGTAACTCGGAGGAATCCTTCTTTATGACAATGGGAAAATTAGCAAATCTTTAGGTTGGAAGAAGATCTGCAGGGCATCAACATTAACATCAGGATGAACCAGAGGTGGCCACAGGGCTGCAACATCTACTTCTCAGTGAAGTCACCTGGAATTTTGTTGGCCTTCAGGGACTAGCACGTGTAAACAAGCAGAGAATTAAGAGCACACAGAGCTCTCTTGGGTGTCAGCTCTTGAGGGAATCTACAGCTCTTCAGCTTAGTTTTCAAAGAAGGAAGCAATTAAAGTGTGTGTGTGACTCAGCGGGAGGCTTCAGGTGTGATGTGTGTATTTGTGCTACTCGCTATCTCTTATTTTAATTTAATGCATAGTTGAAAACTGCAGTATGCGCACTTTTTGTGTGTAGTTCTAAAGATTTGGTTGGGTGTGTATTCACGTAGCCACTCTGACAATCACCCCTAATAAGTTTCCTCAACTGTTACAGGCAACTATCTCTCTCACCCGTTGCTGCTGGCAAGCGCCCTAGATTTTCTCATATGATTTGGCCTTCTCCAGATATGTTTTAAATTAGAATCCTAGAATATGTAGTTTTTCAGCTCGGCATGAATATGGTACTTTCCACCACATTCATCTAACCTAATGTACTTGAGGTCCATTTTTGCTGTCATCCATGGTAGCTTTCAACAGAGAACGTCATAAACAGTGTTTATCTTTGCAGTTGCTGGTTGAGGAACATTTTGGCGATTACAAGTGGAACTGATATTATTACACCGTGCCCTCAATATTTTAATTTGAACACTGGCTTTTGCTTCATGTGGGTTAATATCCAGGAAATACTTCCCAGCTCCATCCGTGAAATCAGCACTACCTCAAGCCAAAGCTAGACAAAAGCAAAGAATAAGCTATAGGCCCATCGTCTCTTGAATATATATCAGACAATGATAAAAATGCTCACAGATCAAATCCGTTAGTAAGTTAAAATAAGTATAAATGATGACTGAATAGAATTCATTCCAAGAAGTTAAAGTGCCTCAACATAGAAAAATCAATCCATTTAATAAGCTGTATTAATATAACAGAACAAACATCATATTTGTACACCAGAAGAGCCATTTGCCAAGTTTTCAGTTTTTCATGACGTGAATACCCAGAAAGCTATGTGTAGGAAGACCTTCACAAACTTTAGAGTATTGATATCAGAGAAATTATAAGAAATTAAAAAGAGGAAAACAAAAATCAGGGTAAAATATAAAACATTAACTTCTCCTTTCAAAAGCCAGCAGACATCAACAATAATAATATCCAAATTATTCTGCAAATATCTCTCTCTCTATTTTTCCCTTCTTTCATTTGTCCTTTTCTCATCCCAGTTTCTCCTTCCCATTGAACAATTCTTAAAAAAAAAGAATATTGGTATCTCTCTTTCATTTGGCTCTTGATTTATATTTTGAATAAATTTCTTTCCAAAATCAGGTCTCCTTAAGTGACTAACAGCGTGAACTTGCCGACTGTGAGGCAGTTTGCTGAGAGATGACGACAGCCGGATGAGAGGCGGAGGGAGTGTTGGGTGGCGGGAATCGCGAATTCGTTCTTGGAAGACTCATGAGCAGCACCAGAGCAATTCTCTCTCAGGTCTTTCTTAAAAAGCTTTCAAATCCTCTGAAATACAAAGAGGTTAAATGAAGAACATTAACATGGAATGAGGTGGCTTAGATTTAAGTCTTGGGTGCACCATGGATTGTTTTTTCATGAACTTGAAGGTTATTTAGTTTCCACAAAGTTCAGACTCTTCAACTGTGGAAAAAGAGTCCACAAAATTATCTGCACCCAAACTCCACCGAATTACGTCTGTGA